TAATAAAGTAGGCAATATTACCCTTTAATATCCACTATGAACAACTTAATAAATTAGAGAATGTCTAGATCTCAATGACTTCATGATTATCATCTTCAAACAGCTTAGCAAATCGAATAGCCAATGATCAAATTTGCTAATGTTAACTGTCAAAACTTTTTCCAACTTTTTGCCAACCTCTTCAAGGTCAGGGGGTGGTATAGAGGAAACAGTACAAAGAGAGGTGCTAGGTTCAGGAAAGCCAGGCAATATTAAAGAGTTTGTAGCTAACACGGGCAAGCATTAGGCCAGGCAGGTGAGACAAAGGTTGAAAAGCACAAAGATGTTACTGTGGTGAAGATGGAAGAGCAACAAAATAGAGAGACAGAATGCTTGAATTATAATCCTGGTTCAGATCTGCCATCAACTGAGAAGAGGAAGGCTGCAGTTGAAGCTGGTGTAGGGGGAAGATTATAAATTCAGTTATGGATATTTTGGATTCTGAGACACTCAACCTGTACACATCTACAGACTCATAAAATTTAATCTTCCTACAGATATAAGACCTATAAACATATGAACTAGGAATTTCAGATTCACATGAACACGGGTTATACAGATGGCAACAACACATTTCCTATGCTGAACTCTGAGCTCAAAGGAATCAGCTTTTTAGCTATTTTAGGAAATAAAGTTATAACTAAAGAATTTAAATTTTTTAATGCATAAAAATCACATTTGAAATGAATCTGGCTGCCTTAATATACATCTGAATATCAGTGTGGTTCAAGGAGAAAGAGCTAGAACTGCGAGTATACTGTTGACCCAGGAGATACAGAACCCCTGGAGTTGGAGACATATATATCAGTCTCAGAATAAGTCTAAAAATTTTAACTGTGTGACAAAATCTGAACCTTTGGGTTCATCTGGCTCTATGAAAGTACAATCTCATTCATAAACCAGTGAAATCAAAGGCTTAATTATTTAAATCATGTATTACCATCCACACTACCATAAACCTCATCACTATACATATTCTAGCATTAGAATTTTACTAATTTTCAGTTCTTAAGATTATACTTTTAAGTATTAAGAGATAATTACATATGTTGTTAAACAGTGAAGTTATATAAATGTACTGATTAAACATCATGGTATTAACTTCTGATGACGGATTCGCATGATCTAATTCAACTACTTTATATTATCTGTACCATACTAAAAGCAAAAAAACTTTGTATATATAATTTATACATATTTTAGAATGTCTTTCAAACTTATATAAGTCTTATAAGCAATATAATGATGACAAATTATGTTCATTTAAGAAATAATACTTGGTAAACTGGTTTATGGTACAGATTACCAAAAATATTAATTTCAAGTAACATTTATAATTGAATAGTTTAGGAAGGACTAAGAGAAAAAAGGCTGGATACATAGGAACTCCTTCACTGGACTAACCAAGGACTCCACTGTAACTATAATGCATGATCAAAGACAACAAGGAGCTCTTGCAGGAAGCATGTATGATAAATACACACATTCACTAACCAACCAATATAACAAAGGTAGGTTACCCTAAAGTCCAACCAACTCTACCCGTAAGTAAACTTAATTTACTAGATAGTAGGATGGAAAAAAGCTTAAGAAAAAAATCATTTTTCCAGGACTTTGTGAGAAAATTTTAGCTCTCGTGTGCCTAATTCAGTTTAAAGTGTAAAGATGTAAAAAACATAATCTTTTCCTCAAATTTAATGAACAGGTCATTGTGAAACACCACACATCTTTTAGCTAAAGGATACTACTTTACAAAGGTCCTCACTTCAAAATCTTTCTCATGGGAAAGCTCCTCTTCACTTCCAGCACATGTAGTTCTCTTGGCATACCAGCTGCCCAGTGGCAAAACAGGAAACGCAGGTATTTCATCAAGACAGCCTCCAGTCAACAGTAAGGGCAGTCACACTTCTTTGACCTCACCTTCCATAAAGCCAAAACAATACTAAAATGGCAACAACAAAAAAAACCACAACTGAGTAATGAAGTGGCAAAAGTGGCCACTGCTATTTTTCCATATCTCATATCTCATAGGAAAGTTGTGAAACTTGATGGCTTATAGCCAGAATCGTAATACCTCCTTTATCTAAACACCATCACCCTAGATCACGTCACTATCATCTCTCATCTAGACTGTTCCAACAGCTTCCTAACTACTTTTCCCAGTTTCAGTCTATCCCTCTACAATCTTTTCTGGCCCCTACTGAGCTCACCAACCTACCTTTCAAGGCACTATCCCCTTTGTTCATTATATTCTAGCCACAATACAGAAGTAGCCTTTGTTTCTCAGGCAAGGCACACTTATTGTGCTGTTCTCCAGATCTGGGGTGCTCTTTACAGGACTCTCATCCCTTCTAAATGTTACCCACTCAGAGAGGTTCTTCTAATCACATTATTTTCAATCACAGCACTCTATTGGTCTCCTTCAAAGACATTTTCTCAGACATAATTTGTCTATTAGCTATAAGCTCCATGAGAGCAGAGGAACTGTGTGTTTCATTCATAACTATATAGTCACGGCCTCACATAATACCTATCATAAGATTCAATACTTACTTATTAAATTACTTATCAGGTAACCTCAATAAGACAGCTAAAAATGAAGGATTAAGCAAAAAATATTCTGAAAAAACAAATATCTTAAAATCCAACTGTTAAAATTCAAGCATCTAAATTCGACAGAATCAACTTCTCTTACTTTATAAATAGTTCGAATAAGGTTAGTTGCCTCACTTCTTAAAGTTGATCAACTAGAAAGAAAAGAAGGTAAACAGAAAGCAAAAGTCTACATATGTGAAATTCAAAAGTGACTTTTAGAGAAGATCCTCAAACCCCAAAATATCTTAATAGCATCCAAGAATATCACTGTGTAACTACTTGGTAATATCTGTTCTTGATTAAATGTTTCCTCTATTCAATCAGATAATTCTGATTTATGCTCACGATCTTGTTTTAAAGCAGAAAAACGTATATCATCTTTTAGACTGATTTCCAAGAAAACAGTAAAGATTAACCAAAAAATATGTATGGATAAACATCAAAATATGTGATAATAATCTGCTGAATACCTTCTGTGTCCAGATCACTAGATAAATTACTTATGACTTTCACACCTAATCTGAGGTAGATATTATCCCTTTTGCAAATGAAAAAACTAAAGTTCAGAAAAGCTAATGGTTAGTTAGGAAGTATCTGAGAACTGAAACCAATTCTGCTTTA